CGTGGTCTCGGCTGACCACAGCACGCTGCGTCTGATGAAGAGGGTACAGAGTACACAGCAAAAGCGAAGTCGGGTAGGCGGTGGGTCGAGCAACTAACATGACGGCCAATCCAATGCACGCCATCCTGAAAACGGTCCACCGATCCCGCTCTGTCATCTCCCCAACACTGTCCAGAATTGTGCCCATCGCGTGCTCGCTCTCCACCCAGCGCTTAAGCGCCTCATTACAGTTTTTAACCAACGTACTGGCATGGTAGTTTCTTTGGGCCGGCTGATCAGAGTTGTGCTTTCCTTCAGTATCTTTTGCATTCATTACTGATCAATTCACAGGTTCGTTTCCTCGTGGCGAAACGAAACAAAGGTAAGTCGCAATATCTTTACAAGTCCTCTTATGATCTGAAGATCTCTATGATCTAACAACCAATAAAGCTAGCAACACCTTGTCCAATCATCGTTCCTTCGTGCAATACTACTGAGGACATTACAACCTCGAATTCGAAACCAGTTTACAATTTCGAACCAATGACTTTATTATTGTAAAGTATTTTTTGGACTTATAAAAATTTACATCCTTTAAATAAACAAGTAGCAAAAAATTTCAGAATAGTCATCCAGGTTCAGAGGAACTGTGCGACTTGCCGCTCCGGCCGCCATCACTTAAGCAAGTGCCGCATATCCTGAAATATTACATGGGCGACACAGCTAGAGCAGATTCTGATGTTGGCGCTATAACCTCGAGGCCTTCTTCACATCCGAATGAATGAATTGTACCAGGTCATGCACGCCTCAGTTATGCAACGGAACATATGTTCCTACTAGTGATCATTGCAATATCATATACCACCAAGTGGTGGACTGCAAAACTCGATTACGAAAGTTCCCATCGTAATATCTGCGGATGATGGATAATCAGGTCAGCTATCAGGTGAGTCAAGGCAAATTGCAGCCCTATGAGGCGCTTGCACCAGACAGGAAGGTTCGCACCTCTCACTCATTGTGGTATGACTGCACCACATACCAAGCTGCCACCGTTATTGGCATGTTAGTTGGCTTCACAGAAAACAAACGCATGGCAAATCTGTTGCTCAAGGGAATTCGGAGTCAAGAGATATTGTCCCTCCGATGGAATCAAACTCGGCGTCTCAGGCGTTCGACGCTGACCTCACTGTACCACCAGTTCGCAGCGGTTCGTCGCTTTGTGATGAACGGCATGGCTCAACCATAACAGTTCCCAGGGTTTAAATCATCCAGCTGATCGATGGCACCGGCACTGGCAGGACAGGAAAACGCCATGGGTAAACATGCTTATGATGGATCAGCTCTAACGTTACAAAGACTTCTATATCAGTTCGGGGTGCTAGAAACACGGTGGTCTTGGCCCTGTTCAGACTGTGTTAACATAAAATGAGGTTGCTCATTTCGGCGGTGGTGCGTCTGACCTTTCTTTTATGATGGACCTCATCCGAACACAGCCGCTTAGCCGGCTGCTGCAGAATGAATGAACATTTTGTTTGACTGTAGTCACCCATTAATCCTATATTTGATATAATTTCCGGTTGTACCTCTAAAGCTAGATAGAGATCATTAAAGCACAAGTGTGCAACTGCCATTACCGCACGGTTGAACGACACTTCCTACACCATGACTATTGGCACTGTACTCGAACATCACTGTGTGGTACCTGAGACTGTTGACTAGACGTTTGTCACAATAATTCTTAGCCGGTAGAAAGACTGCTCTTGTCACAGAGCAACACAGCAAGAAGGAATGTTTGCAACCGCTATTTTAAAAGGAGTCGACAGTAGGTATGTGACAAGCACAATGTGTGGTCCATTAATTTTTCGAGCAAAGTTATACTGACTTATCAACCTCTAAAGAAAAAGAGGAGAGTGACCTGATCTGGCCTCCAAGAATCTATGTTTTAAATATAACGAACATTAGCCCGATATAACCAATCAGATGCAACATGTCGA